ACAGAAGTCCATAACGTTTCTGTTCCTTTCTTCCTACTTTAGTATAGAAAGGACCGAAACAAGCCATTCCACAATACGTGAAGGGAGGAGTTGTTTCCATTCTCTCACTGGGCAGATTTGCCATCTTCTGTTCTTCTGTTCCACGTCTGAACTTCCTGCACTTGATACAGTTGTAGATAAAGGATGATACTGCTTGACTGCATCCCAGTATCCATATACCATTCGATCTCAGCTCGTTTATTGTCATGCCACGCCCTTGGTGTTGCACTTGTCGATGGTAGTGATCGATCAGCAGCTTTGCAATGTGACAGGTCTTTGGTAAGATCGCTGGGTGCTTGACGTGTGGATGTAACGCTGCATGCTCTAATCTACCTCCCACTCTGAGGATGTTCATGTCGTCCAGGAAGGGGTTCAATCGATAAAGTTTACTGGTCTTGTCTTTGATCAACTCCTTTCTTGATTGAAGCTCTTTGATTTCTTTGGAGAAAACTGATCTTTGTACAATGGCTATGATTGTAAGCTCTGCTTCTTGTCTTTCTTCAAGGCTTGTGGCTTCATTGCTTCTCTTTTGCAAGCCTTTGAACTCTTTCACAAATCTGACGAGCCTTGCGATAGCTTTGACCAATCTGGACCAACTGGAGAATTTCCAAAAACGTTCTGACAGAGAGAATCTACCTTTGTTGATGTATGGTGTACAACAACTTTCCGTACTTCTGGATCCTCTGCATCAAGTTCTCCCACCTTGATCTCTCCACTGGGAAGCTTCTCTTGCCAGAGAAAACTTGGACCACTAAACCAGTTGGAGGTAACAAGGTCTTTGGCTTTGAGTCCACGCGACGCATGGTCAGCAGGATTGTCCTCTGATGTCACATACTTCCATTGCATTGGTTGAGTACTTTCCTTGATTCGCTGAATCCGATTTGCTACAAAGACATGAAAACGTCTCGCTTCATTGTTAATATATCCCAAAAGAACTTGCGAATCTGTCCAGAAGAATTCCTGAGCATCTTCCAGCTCCAACTCTCCTTTGAGCATGTCACTTGTGCGCACTGCTACAACTGCTGCAGACAACTCCAATCTTGGCACCGTAGTTACCTTGGTAGGTGCTACTCTAGACTTGGCAAAGACAAGTGAGCAGTGGACTTGTCCTGCTTCACTGACAGCTCTCAGGTAGGTACAGACTCCATATCCTGAGACACTCGCATCTGAAAAATGATGGAGCTCATACCTTTGAACTGCTTGAAAATCCTTTGGAAGATAACATCTGTCGATCTTGACATCAGCCAGTTTCGTCAGCTCCAACAGCCAGGACTCCCACTGTGACTTGAGTTCACTTGAGAGTGGTTCGTCCCAGTCGGTCTTCTCGCGACACATTTGCTGAAGTATTTGCTTCCCAAGTAGAACGAAAGGCGCCACAAAGCCAAGTGGATCGTAGATGGAGGCTACAGTTGACAACACACCTCTTCGAGAAAATGGACACTCATTCACAACTACTCGAAACTGGAAATGATCCGAAGCAATGCACCATTTGACACCTAAGGCTCTTTCGATCTGTTGCTCTCCTAGTGCCAAGCTTTGGTTTCTTGCTGTGTCTGCACAGTCTTCTTTGGGCAGGGAATCGAGAACTTCCTGACTATTCGAAATGAACTTGTGAAGTCGCAATCCTCCCGTGTTGCAGAGTTCCTTTGCTTCGTTTACTAAACGGATTGCCTCTTCTTCTGAAGTGGAAACTAATAAGACCATCGTCCACGTAGAAGTTTCTTTCAATGAATCGTATGGTGGCTTCACTGAACTTGCCTTGACCCTCTGCGGCAATGTACTTGAGGCCAAAGTTTGCACAGGCTGGTGATGAAGCGGCTCCAAACAGGTGGACTCGCATGCGGTAGACAGATGGAAGAGAGTTAAAGTCTCCATTGTCCCACCACAGGAAGCGGAAGTAGTCTTGATCTTCTTTTCTGACTCTGAACTGATGAAACATGCGTTCTATATCGCACATCACTGCTACTGGACCCTTTCTAAATCGGCACAGGACCCCAACCAGAGAGTTGGTTATCTCTGGCCCTGTCAGCAGGTGGTCATTCAAAGAGACTCCTTCGTACTTTGCTGAACAATCAAAAACCACTCTTATTTTGCCGGGCTTTTGGGGATGATACACTCCATGATGTGGAATGTACCAAGCAGGGCTTTTGTCCAGTTCTTCAGATGGGACCTTTTCCGCATCACCATGTTCTATTGTCTCTTTCATGAATCTGGTATAATCTTCATGGTATTGTTTATCCCTTTCAAATCTTTTCTTCAAACACTTGAGTCTGTGTTCTGCACAGCTCCGGTTGTTTGCGAGACTTGGCCTGTCTTCCTTGAACGGCAATGGTAACTCACAGTGTCCATCTGCTTTCATCTTGACACCCTTTTCCATTATGGAAATGAAGCGTAAATCTTCTTGGGAGAAGTGAGAATCTTCAACTGTCCTTTCATTGAAGTCAGACTCTAGCACTTTAATCACATCTGTGGGCGTCACCACTTCTTTGACCTTTGTGCGACAGATGTAATGCACTTCTTTGGACAACTGCTCTGATGACTGAATTGGTGTCACTTCCTTGACAATGATCTTGTGGCTGCATCCAATAGCGTCTCCATAATCAACGCATGGATTAACACCTCCAACTATTGTCCAGCCAAGGTCGGTTCTTTGGGCGAAGGGCTCATTGTCTTCCCCCTGACACAACTTCTCTGGGTACCAGCACTTGCGAACAGTTGTAACCTATGAGCAAACCAACATCACACTCAATCAGCGGGGCGATCTCTTCAGCCAGGTGCTCTAGATGAGGCCATGATCTTGCTGTCTTTGATGTGGGAATATGACTTAAATTGGCAGGAATGAACTCTCTTGTATATGTCATGGGAAGAGGGATTCTCTTTGATGAATAGAAGCCTCTAACTTGAAGTCCAGACAGTTTCTGGCTGGGAACCAGTGTATTCCTTAGAAGACAAGGTTGAAAGCTTTAACTGTACATGTTTCTTCTCAGTGTCGAGAGCATCTGCCTTTTCTTGCAGAACAAATGTTGTGTCACTCTGGCTGTCTAGAAGAGCATAGAGAAGAATCTCATGTTCAGGGTTGCTTGTTGTGGATAACCAAACTGGAATGATTGTAGACGTGAGGTCACTTCTGTCACTTTGAATCACACGGTTTGATATTGCCTCATTTTGTATTTCTGTAGGCTTTGTCTCTTTAGGTTCTTTCAAGTCTTTCTCTTCTTTTTTCTTTCTAGACTCTCTGTCTCGTTCTTCATGCAAACACGTTGGGTGTTTCCCTTTACATGTATCACAAACTTTTCTCTTTTCAACATTTCTTGGATTGGTGTCCAAAGGTGAGACATCCAAAGCACAGTCCCTTAGTTTGCACAAACTTGACTCTTTCAGTTATGGCTTTATCCATGAATTTTCTGCATGTGTGTATGCTATGGTTTGGCTTTTCACAAAACACACATTTCCTTGCGTCAGATTTCTCTTCTGTGCTACTTGCTAGTACTTTGGCTCCAACACTTCGAGTCTTTGAAAATTTCACTTTCTCTGTGTCACTTGTCTTGAGTGCTTGAAGTGATGTCACTGGGTTGCACGCTATTTTGGCTTCTCTTGTGATGAAATCAACGAAGTTGTTGAATGTTGGAAAGGAACCGGTCTGCTCTTCAATCTCTATGACTTTCCTATTCCATCTTGCTATTAGCCAATCAGGGAGCTTGCTAAGCATTCTCTGATTTTCACTGCAGTCATTTAGAACTTCAAGACTCTTAATCTGTAACATCGCTGCTTCACATCCTCTCAGAAAGTCTGAAAACTCTCGCAGTTCAGTGCTGTCTTTGTTTCCAATCTTCGGCCACGATGTTAACTTATCTCTGAAGGCTTTGGCAATTACAAATGAACTTCCGTACCTTTCCTCCAGAGTGTTCCAAGCTGAATAATATGCTGAGTCTGTTCCCAACAGGAAGTAGCTCTCAACGGCCTTTCTTGCTGGTCCACCAACATACTTGCGAAGGAAGTAAATCTTCTCATTCACTGGGATATTCTTTCTGTCTATCAGCATCTGAAACGACATCTTCCAATCCCTGTACTTGAGAGGATCTCCGGTGAAAACTGCAGGTTCTGGTACTGGTAGACGACTGATGTTAATGGACTCTGCTAGAACTTGCGCCAATGCTGTGGTGCTATCTTCCGGCGTGGCTTGGGCTTTTGGTTGTAACCTTGTGAGATCTTGTGACCAGACGAATGGTTGAGCATTTGCATTGAGTTGTGAAGGTGCAGGTAGACTTGCAGATTTGGATTTTCTTGATGTAGTCTTATCATGCAGAAAATCTGATATTTCTTCATCTGAAGTTAGTTCTCTCTCATAAACCTTAAGTCGTGCTTTGGCCGCATTCATTTTCTTCACCATTTCCAAGCGTTCGAGCTCTCTGCGCTTGTGCTCTAATGCCTTCTGTTTTTCAGCATTCTCTGCTTCAAGGATCTCAAGTGCTTTTCTCTCTTGTTCCATTTCCTCCATAACCTTCAGAGTAGCTTCAGTAGCAGCGAGTTCTGCAGCTGCTTCCTGCTTCTTCACAGACAACCTGCTGCTGTGACTGGAACATTCACTTGAGCACTTGGATTTTTGAACAGCTGTTAACTTGAACACAGATCCAGCATCACTCCAGTGAGCTAATCTTTCAGGCAGTTTTTCCTTATCTTCATCGGCTGCCTGGTTTGCTCGTGCTTGCTGTATTATCTTTCTAGAGACAGCCTCACAGGTGTCTACTCTCCGGCGGGTGTCTGCATCAGGAGTTTCAAAACTGCGCAGCTCATCATAGGCTTGTTTCACTTCTGCTGAAATGTGTTCCATCTCAACGATAACGTCATATAATTTTGCACTGGCAGGTTCTTCAAGCACCCTTTTACCTTGTCTAGCTGCAGCTTTCCACTTATCATAACTGACTTTGAAGCGAGCCTGAAGCTTGGTCACTCTTTCTTCATGTAGAGCTTGGCCCTTTTTAGTGAGTGTTCTCACTCTTCGACTTCTCCTCAAACCCTCATTTTTACTTGTGCTTGGCTCTTGTGGGTTTGACTCTTCTTCAAAACATTCTTGCTGCTCAACAGCTTCAGTGTCACGGTCTTCTTGCTCCATGTCACTTAAGTCTGCTGTACTGTCGTAGTCTTAGTCAGTTTAACTCAAATATGTAATAAATAAATAATCACCCAAAAATGATACACTGCTTTTCACTTGTAGTAAACAGAAAATCACTTTCAATATAAAACTAAATAATAAAGACTTGACCTTTAAAGTACCTTAATGCACCTTTAAAATGAGCAAAACCCTTGTTATCAACTTAAAATTAGCTTAGTAACAGTCACTTAACATAAAACAAGCATTAACTTCAACTTAAACTTATTTTTAAACCACTGCACTTTACCCCTTTAAGCACTTAATAGAGTCCCTTTAATATCAGCAAGAATAATCTACTTCTTCACATTTAACTTGTATAAACGTGTTACTTCTTTGTAGCTCATCCACGCTGTACTTTTGGACCCCGATTGCCGTAGTTTTGGGTTGTCCGTGCATGCAGTTCGTCTTTCCATTGAAATTTGAGAGTGACGTAATCCTTAACGAGGTGCGCGCTACAAGCGCTCGTTGTCGGCTCAGCTCCGCAGCATCAGGCCGGGCTCTCGCTCTTCTCCTCCAGCGCGAAGCAGGCTGAGTTCTGACTGTTACTCCCCTCGAGTTTGAAACAAGGCTCAAAATCGTTCTTTGGTTTCAACGAGCATTTATTCGGACTGGAGTCTTGTACATGTCTTTACATGTAAATGAACCTTAATGCCGACGCATGCTGTCAGAACTATAGAAAGGAAAAAATGAAACTTAAAATTAACCCTCAGATACAAAACACAGTCAGAAAAGTAATTACACAATAAAATAACACAAAATGTACCTCATTGGCCACATCCACTCAAAGGGAATAAAGTCTTGTCCTTGTAAACTTTTAACTTAAAATAAAATGTCCTTTTGGCTCAGAGGTCAGAGCGTAGCTCCTCGTGTGGCTCTCAATTAAGACTGTGCAGCCGTAAAAAACTTCCCCTCGAAACAATATGTAATTGGAAGTGGAGCAAATCAACCAAAATAAAAATGAAATTAATTAAAATGAACTTACAGGAAAATTAACTTATTTATGCTATATATTGCTTTTTAAAATAATTTACTATATATCAATATGAATATAATTTAATGTTATAAAACATGAACTTAAATGTATGACAGTTGCCGCCAACGGCAGCTACACATACTGTACAAGGAAGCTATAATTCCAGCTATAGTCCTGCTGATCCAATATTATAATTTCTTACCCATTGTGAATGCAAAAAACTAAAATTAATGGACAATGATTTTTTGTTTTTGTTTTGTTTTTTCTTTTTGTTACCATCTTCTAGAGATATTAGCTATGACAATGATGTAAAGTGCGTTTTATCAAGAAGGGATGGAATTATATATTGATAGCAGTAAAATAGATTTGGCGTTTGAAAATATTACTATACTAAACTGCCTCCAGTCACTTTCTCAAATGGATCTGTTTTTGCAAATAAAACAACTTAGCTTACCCGTGGACTGCTGTCATTTGGTTTCTCCTGGATTTCACGTGTGTTTGGATTGTTTCTAAGTGAAACAAAACTTTTTTCCTGAAACAGTTCGGTGTAGGCCTCCATTGCAGACAGGGCATGCCGAGGGGAGGATTTCCCTTTTGAGGTTGTTTTGGGAGACGGAGTGTGACTTCTATAAAAGAGAGCCCAAGACAAGTTAGATCACTGTAATATGAATAAGAAGCTTGTCAAGTCAAGTCTGTAACTTCTGTAACTGTTTACCTGCTTATGGATGCAAAAGAGGACTGACGGTTATCAGAATGTAAGCTTCCTTGGATGTGGTTAAGTGCATCTTCTAGAGTTGGGACATTCTTTTTAGTAGCTATAATACACAAGGACAACATCAGTAACAAATTTTAGAAATGAGTTACAGCTAGTGTTACCATACGAAAATTGCTTTGATTTGAAAACTAAGGAAAGGGCTCAACAATGATGAAAAAACACACATCCTAGAATAACAGAATGTAATTTTCAGCATAAAATAATAGAGCTTTCACTAGCTAGGACCATGCCAACAATGACATAGTGTGAAGAAGTTTATTGATAATGTACAAAGCGGGGCAGAGATGGCTGGGTTGAGACTATGGGTGGGGGCTCTGTCTCAATCTGCAATTGGCCCATCTGAAACGGGACCCCCCTTGTAAGGGTCTTATGACTGAAAGACAAAATAGGGGATGGGAGGGTGGGGTCGAGTTAGCTGAGACAAACGGGGATGATGGGAAAGGCTGCTACATATAGGCTTCTGGGAAATTAGAGTCATGGTTGAGGTGAGTTGTGGTTCGCTGGTGAGAGGAGAGGGCGACTGAGGCATGGTCTCCTGAATCAAAATTACTTTGAAACTGTTCAGCATCGATAGGCTACTTTTTAAATTTTTAAATTTTCAATATTGGTTTGAATATCAATTAGTATCAGATTTTTGATACTTATGACGAACCCAAATTGCAGCATATTACTAACATTGTCTGCGCCTTTGAGAGAGAGGTAGATGTGCTCTTTGAAAGCGCTCTGTAGCCTCTTGTACTTTCTGTCTTCGCTGCTGTAGTGCATTTTCTCTTATGCGCTGCTCATGGACATCCCATTGTTTCCGTCTCTCCTCCAATGCCCTGAGTCAAAAACATAAGCACCCAGAAAATACTTTAACTGATTAAATTTTGCTAACTTGAAACATGAGACAGTTCCTAGAGATACTTTCGAAACACTCATTAATAAATTACAGGTGGCAGTCACAGACATAGATGAGAGAGGAAGATAATGTTATTTCACAGGGTCATGAACAAGCACTCTATTACTGGGTCTCAAGTGTTCCGAAGTCTAGTTTTAAAGGTCCTATATTACGCAAAACTGACACTTGTGAGGTTTAAGCCATGTTAGAATGTTATTTCATCTTCAAAAACATATCTGGAGTTGTGTTTTCTTTCAATCGTACATTGTTGAGTAACTCTTTATTATTATTGGTCTACATATTCAAAGTTCATAATGCTCTGTTCCACCTAGTGATGTCATTTTCACAGCTACCTTTTACCCTTTTTTTTACTACAAATTGGAAATTCAAAGGCTGAAATGATCCAAATGATTCTACTGAAAGTGTATGGAGTTTAAAAACATAGTGGAGCACTTCCTGTATCACCCCATGGCATTATAAGGTGGAACAGAGTGTTTTCTTTTGTCTAATATGCAGGGTTTGTGTTTTTTAAACATGTGTGAATGAAACAAAACACAACTCCAGCTATGTTCCTGATGAGGAAACAACATTATAACACAGATCAGAAAATAGCATAATATGGGTTATTTAATAACAAACTACAAATTCAACATGACTTAACATTCAGATTAATTCCAGTGAACCTTAAATATTAAAATTCACATCAGATGACATTCAGTGTTGCATTTTAAATCAAATTAATGATGAATTAATTATGCAACAAGTTTTGAAAAAGACTGATGTGTTATTCTCAAAAGTAGCAGATGTGTGCATACTTTCAACAGCACATTCAGTTTGGTTGCTTAATTCCAGTCATATTCACCATGAACCCTGCAGCCCTGCACATACCAGCCAGTGTCTCTCTCTGCTGTGGCCTCCAGTTACCTTGAGAACAGCAGATCTATTTCCAGGTCTAGACTGCAATCCTGTCAAGCTCTCTTTTGCCTCTCAAAGGTGTTAAACCAGGACAGGATCATAAACTGTCTGCTTGCCCGTTTGCAAATATATTGCGAAATTCAGATGTGTGCATTTTTATAGATAATGACAAGGACAGGTAAATAAATAAAATAAAAATAAAATGAAAACACTGACTTCCTGCGCCGTTGGGTTTCCAGGAAGAACTTGCGCGCCCTCGCTCTGCACAGCTTCTGCTCTTCAGCCAAAAACTGTTTCTCCTTCTCCAGGTTCCCATTGATTAATCTAGAAGTTCTGGGGGAAAACATGCTAAAGAAAATGTCCTCAAATGAACTTGATACATTGGCTTCAACTACAGCGAATATCGCTTTTTTTTATTTATGTTTTTTTTTTTTTTACATTTCAAAATTGTTACGTCAGACATTATTTACAAAACGGGAGCAACTTGTGTACTTATGCGTAATGGAGGATACGAGTAGAAAAAGTTCTCATCCAGAGCTTGCATCCTTCAAAGCGACAGATATCACGTCGGACGGTATGCTAGTTATTTTAGCTTTAACTTGCTTCTTTAGCCAGCGTCAGACAACATTGTGCTGTTCGTTTGTCATTTTCGCATCGCTGGTCACTGCACGCCTTTTCATTCAACATCAGTCCCCGCGTTGGATAAGTTTGGCAGCGTATAAAGTACAAACATATAAACTGTTCACTGTCTGAGCTGATTTCTCTGTGTACACTCCTCCGTGTTAGCAACCATCGACGCACTTCCTTGACAACGGCGATGAGGCGTAATCCCCACCATGACCACTAGAGTGCGCCCATGGCACCCAGGCGACACCTAGAAAACCTGCTAAAAGCAGACACGCAGAAAAGGCACAACAATGGAAGACTGTTAGGGTGCATATACAGTCTATGGGTACGTGCGAGGCTTTTTCACTGCAGCAGCAACAGCTACAAATAACTAATTGTCTTAAAGGTGCACTATGTTATCTGTTTTAGTGTTGGATATGCTACACGCTCTTCTCCATGGAGATGAACATTGCCTGGAATTTTCCATAGTATGGCATTTATTCAATTACGAAAGCGTTTTTTTTTTTTTTGCCTATCCACAGATCTGACCAGTAACTTCATAGAGACAGATGAGTTTAATGCCATATTGTGAAACATTCAGTCTTTATGTAGACCAGCAGGCCAGACCCATGCCAGGGAGGTACACTGTTAAACTTACTAATAGTCACACTAAAACCTTAAAATAAATTGTTATTATATTAAAAGATTACAGCTAGTGTAATTCCCATGCATTGGTAGACATAATCTGAAAGACAACGTTTAGTCTTTTTCAACACTTACCCTAGATCCAAATAGTAATTTGTCTAGTGGATTAACACTCACACAGTGTGCATGCTCTGATTCACTATTACATTTGATGGCACGGTGAGTTAAGAGGATTTGGTAAATGTGCTTTTTTTTAGATTGCTTGTCCACTCAGCCATAGCACAGTAAATAACCTACTATGTGCTTTGGTGGACTATAAATGTCACTGTGTAAATCTAATTTTTAGATAGAACAATATAATTTGACCTCAAATATTAATCTTAAATATTACAGGGAGATGATGATGTTTCCCCCATCACAGTACAACTGTTTCTGATGATGGCACTATATTCCACGCCCCACCCACCGGGTGTGCCCCATCTGCCTCTAGAGCTGAGTGGGACTCACACAGGTGCGTTGTTCAGGGACACAACGTGTGGACATGGGCTTTTGTCCAACAGCAAGGCGCCAGAAGGTGAGCCTCATCATCCCTTTTTAAGACCCATACCCACAATTCCTTTGTGTAATGCTAATGCTTATCAATGCATACTGTCTCTTTTGTTAACATCCTTTTGCCTTTGTAGCATGACCATCAGATGAAATCTCCCTGGTTTGCTGAGACAGAAAATCATACAAGTGAAGTCAATTAAGGTAACATAATGAAAAATATGACCATAGAGAAAATGTATTTAGGAGATGGATGAAATAAGTTGGGTAAATAATAATGTGATACCCCAACATTCTAAAGAGACTATCGTTTAAAACTGAGGGCTCAGTTTTAAACTATAACAGTTTTCTGTGGTAGGATTTGTATTTAAACTGTCAGATACATTTTTTTTGACCTGGTTGAATTACTTGGCCAATCCATATGAAACAAAAGTACGATATATAAAATAGGTGCATATTACAATATGGTTCTCAGTGTAACATTCTTATTAGATCTGGTCACACTTCATGTTGTCCCTTGACAATATAGTTACTTTGACAAACACAATCTTTAATCTTTAATTAAACAATGTAACAATGGTGACTTTAGAGATTACAGCTTCTATTATTTGAGGCTTTAGGGAAAATCCTGTTAGGCTAATAAAGACTGAAAGATTGTAGTACATTTTCCTAGTGCACAATGAAGAACTAGTTTGGGCTAATTCTTCCTTAATGCCATTAAAGGTTTAGAGCAGAGTTGTTGTAATTACTTTATCCATTCACAATGTACTGATGTGGAAATACAGTATTGACTATCTCTCAATATGTGTTGGGGAGTGGCAGAGTGGACAGCTCCAGTTTGACATGGAGCAGATGATGAGGCTGTGGGCGGTGTTACACATGCAGCGCCACTTCTAATTCAGAGGAGACCAGCTGTCCACCATTGAACAATACTCACTGCTCGGGTCTCTTCTTTTTCTTTCCAAGATATGGAAATTCATGCAAAGCTAATTTGTACTTGACAACAGCTGATGCAGAACAGTACCTCTTTACCAAAGCTTCACCAATTACTCTGGACATATTGACAGTCATTTGTTATTTTGTGTTTCATCTGCTTTTAGATGGAGTAATTAAGCAGGCAGAATGATGCAGCACACCATGGCCAAGCAGCGGAGAAACGTCGTTCGGGTAACTGGACATCTTTTCCACGCCCAGTCTTCCAATCATCTTTCAGTAACAGAGGAGCTTTTTCTGAATGCTGCCGAATATGGAAACATTCCTGAAGTTAAGCGAATACTCTTGGAAATACCATGCTTCAATTTCAACTGTGTGAACTACATGGGCCAGAATGCATTGCAGCTGGCAGTGACCAATGAGCATTTAGAGGTAACAAAACTACTACTAAAGAAGAAAAATCTGTCAAGAATTGGTGATGCACTGTTGTTAGCAATAAGTAAAGGGTATATTCATATTGTGGAGCAAATATTAAATCACCAGGCATTTGCAGATGGACATATGCTGACCCACAGTCCAAGCCAGGCAGATCTACACGGAGACTTCTATGCCTATGATGAAGACGGCACACGGTTTTCCCATGACATCACTCCTATTATTCTGGCCTCCCAGTGCCATGAATATGAAATAGTGCATATACTTCTTATGAAAGGAGCTCGGATTGACCGCCCCCATGACTATTTCTGCCAGTGCATGATTTGCAACGAGCGGCAAAAGCATGATTCTTTCAGCCATTCCCAATCACGTATTAATGCTTACAGAGGTCTAGCCAGCCCTGCCTATCTGTCACTGTCAAACGAGGATCCTGTCATGGCTGCTCTAGAGCTTAGTAATGAGCTAGCTGTTCTCGCCAACATTGAGAAAGAATTTAAGGTATGAAAAGTAAAAAAATAAATGAATCACTGATGAATACTAAACTGTGACATTTAAAATGGTTGTCTTTTACAGAATGACTACAAGAAGTTGTCCATGCAGTGTAAGGACTTTGTAGTTGGACTTCTAGACTTGTGTAGGAGTACTGAAGAGGTGGAGGCCATCTTGAATGGGGATGCTGAGTCATGTTTAACTTCAGGTCGTCATAATCTTATCCGCTTAAAACTGGCAATTAAGTATGAAGTCAAAAAGGTATGCACTTAATAGACACTGTGGTTTGATATATGAATGTGTTTGTTTAATTTTCTCTTCTGGTACGTCCCCCTCTTTTGGAACAAATCATGCTAATGGTACAGTTTGTGGCACACCCAAATTGCCAACAGCAACTCCATTTAATTTGGTATGAGAACTTGTCTGGTCTTCGGCAACAAACAACTGGCATTAAGTTGCTGCTTGTTTTTGGTGTGGCTTTGGGACTACCCATCTTGGCCTTACTGTACCGGTTAGCTCCATCCAGCAAGGTAAAATTATCTGTCACTTAGCACCAAATCCATTCAAGTTTCAAGTCAAGTTAAGTCTTGTTTATCTCCCTTCTCAGTTGGGAAAACTCATGTGTGGACCGTTTTTGAAGTTTGTGGCCCACGCTGCATCTTTCATAATCTTCCTGTGCTTGCTGGTCCTGAACGCAGCAGACCGATTTGAGGGCACATCACTGTTACCTAACATGACTTTACATGATTATCCCTCACAGCTATTCCGCATGAAGACCACCCCTTTCACCTGGATGGAGATACTAATCATTTCCTGGGTCATAGGTCAGGACCTTTCTACCTAATTGTAGGGGTTAGGTTTTGAATATTTTACTACACATATCAATATAGAGTACATAGAGTACATTGAATTATATGTGTAATTTCTCATTATGCATTGTGCAGAAGCTTGTAGATGTATTATATTGTATTTGTCAACACATTAATTATTTCAATAAGTAAGGTTCAGATTTCCAAATTTGCATGTAACAAGTCACGCAATTGATTTCCTTTGTTTTCGAAAATTGTAAGTGAAAGGATGTTGACATTTTGTGGTATTTTTAGGTAAAATCTGGGAGGAGTGCAGAGACATCTGGTCACAAGATATTCGTGATTATGTGTCAGAACCCTGGAACCTTCTTGATTTCAGCATTTTGACCATTTTTATGACTTCCTTCATGGCCAGACTCATGGCGTTTTGGCATGCCTATGCAGCTCAGTGCTATGTGGACATGCACTACACTGACTTATCTAATGCAACTTTACCTCTTGAGATCCAGTATTTCCAACTTGGTGAGTGTGTGCTTTTTATTGTGTGGAGCATTATCTAACTGTGTCAGGGCCGTTCTCATTTCCTTTTATTCATTACATAGTATAAACTGTAGGAGTAACTATCTGTGTGAAAGGTTGCACAAAACTGACTTTTTGTTTGTTTTCAGCTCGGACCCACTGGATGCCTTCAGACCCACAGCTAATCTCTGAAGGACTCTATGCAATCGCAGTTGTGCTTAGTTTCTCTAGAATTGCATACATCCTGCCTGCCAATGAGAGCTTTGGGCCTTTGCAGATCTCCCTGGGGAGGACAGTGAAAGATATTTTTAAATTTATGGTCATTTTCATAACAGTCTTTGTGGCATTTATGGTGGGAATGTTCAATCTGTACTCATATTACATTGGAGCTAAGCACAACAATGCCTTTACAACGTGAGTGTAACTGTTATAATAAAACAGTTTACATGTACTGGTGCGTCTCAATAGATTTTATTGTGGTATGAATAAATACTTTTAAAGTGATTTCAATAATTTGTGATAAGTGATAATTAGTGATATTATTATTTCCTCATTAAAAAGGCTTAAAGCTGGGGTTGAAGCCCAAAGGCTAAGCCAGTGTGTCTTTCAATATTCTAATTCACTGAGATGCACCTGAGAATACTGTAATGTATTTGTTATCAGTTAATGTTTATGTTTTTCTTTATTTTAGACTTGAAGAGAGTTTTAAGACATTATTTTGGGCCATCTTTGGCTTGTCTGAAGTGAAGTCAGTGGTTGTAAATATAGACCACAAATTCATTGAAAACACCGGTTATGTCCTGTATGGCGTGTACAATGTCATTATGGTCATTGTCCTGCTGAATATGCTGATTGCCATGTTCAACAGCTCCTTTCAGGAAATTCAGGTACAGAAATTCAATACTGTAATTTTTCTGTGACCTTACAAAAGACTGCACAAGTGTAGAAAACTTTGTTTAACTTTTATTTAAATTTTGGACTAATTTAAGTAAAAAAAAAAAAAATTGGAACCCATGGCAATGTCATTATCTATGCTATATCTGTACCTACTATATTTTAACATATGACTTTACTCACTTAGTTGACATTCCTATATTTAATTCAAAAAATGTTCATCGTATTTTTTTTATGTTAATGTTTGAGTTTAGGTTTGCCAATATCCTTATAAAATTGAAGTGAAATAGCTGGAACACATTACTAATACAAATATGTGACTAATGATACATTTTCTTTCCAGGATGATGCTGATGTAGAGTGGAAGTTTGCACGCGCTAAGCTGTGGTTCTCCTATTTCGAGCATGGGGGGACTTTGCCTGTGCCCTTCAACCTTATTCCTAGTCCCATGTCCTTGGCTTCCCTCTGGTCAAGGCTAAGGAAAGTGATGTGGGATGAGTCTCCAGGCAAAAGCAAAGCAAATTCCACCTCTGATACAGAATTAGAAAAGGTAGTCAAGGCAAGTTTTGTACCATATTGAAGTTGGACATATTATTTCTTTTCTATGATTTATTTTTCTAACTTAGCTGAGGAGACAACATGTTCCCACAGTGGAGCCACTCTATTCTACCCATCATCAAGTAAAGCATATTTAATTATACCTTATTATTCTCTAAAAGCCAATCACAATAGAAGCCATGACATATTGCTACTGCAGCTATCTTGATATACAGGCTGTTGCTAATAGATGTGATTCACCGAACACTGCCTTCTTGGTAAAAGCCCTGATACTTTGTTGCAGAGAATAATGAATCGCTTGATCAAAAGATACATTTTAAAAGCACAAAGAGACAAAAGCAATGCAGATGTGAATGAAGGTAAGTTATAAATCTTCTTGACAGTGTTTTGTACATATATGGACTTAAAAGGCTGTGTGCTTGACTATTATTGGCAGGAGCATTAAAGGAAATCAAACAGGACATCTCTGGTCTGAAGTTTGAGCTGCTGGAGCACTCGAAACATGATATGAACAACATGCAACAACTCATCCAACACTTAGAAGAGGCTGGTCTTATTCACTAAAGTATGCAAACTGGTTTAAGAGTTATGTTTGTTTATTAGTGAGATCTATTTAGACACTTGAGGTAGTCAACCTATTGTTGTGGTTACCTGTTACCCCACAATGTTGTTAAGCCTATGGTAAAAGCAAATCAGTTTTTCATTAGCTGTGTTGCCTGGGTCTGCACAATCAACCATATGGTGGTGCTAATGAACCCTGTTTTTATAACTACAGTCTGGTTCATATTCAGTAGTAATTTCTTGGAAATACAGCCCTCTGCCAGCTGGTGCCAACTCACTTAAAGCTGAATCAAAAGTTCCAATTTATATGAGTAGTAACAATCAAAATGAAATATGTGTTGTGGAGAAGGCAATGGGATTAAATGCTGATCCACATTTCCAGTATGTAATAAAACTCAAACCATGATGATTTTGTTGTCAATTAATATCCTACTTCATGGGGTTTATGTGTTCTTTTAAGCAACCGCTGCTAATAGCCTATAGTCTGAGTTAACTGTGCGAGGAGACAGATGAGTGAGAACAGTCTGACCTGTCGTGGAGACAAACAGCCTGACTCCATCTGTGAGAGGAAACATCACTGTTCAATTTCAGCTCAAGACTTTTCACTCTGACGCACTGGTACGCCTGCTGTGGGAAAGTGACTATGAATGCTCACATTAGGCTATTTCCTCAGACTTACAGGACGTTTAATCAAAACGAGATATATTCCTAAAAGCATAGAATTATGTAGGCCACAGAGAAGCTTGTCTGATTGCACGGAACATATGACGCTGATGATAGGGCCAAGGTCTGTGCATGCATCATGCAGCTGCAGTATCCAACCGGGACCGTCCCTATCATCATAGCCGCGATAATAGACACGATCTCTTATGACAACGCTGCTTTTATGACATGGCGGCCTTGAGATGCTATCACCTAGTTTTGGGCTGAAATGAATTTGTTACGCTAATTAAAGTGGAAATTTCGTAAAGTCTTCATACAAGTAGGAAATGTCACATTTCCATCCAGTGTGATCATATTCTATTTATATTTCTATCCTATTGTTGGTCTTTATATTGACTATTATTGAGCTATAGGCTATAATCAGCATTGTCCCACTAACCCATCTTTTAAGACATCGTTATCATGAACTTACGTTGAGCTCATTCACGATCACAGGGCGGAGACTATGGTCCAGGTTTTGATGTGATTCACAGTGGATGCTGTTGATTGGTTGGACACATGACTGTATGTCTGCGTGACGGAGCCTACCAACATACGTTTGTCTTCTGTCCTACTAATGAATGCATCTCCTCAGACAATTCCCTGTGCGCGCAGTATGAATTCTTTAAAGGTTTTCTGTTTTAAGTCTTTAAAACTGTTCGCCTTAAACAACAAATGGGATGTTGTCTTTATGTGCCTCTAGCAAACTTTACTTTAATTTGCTTCTGAGATAAAATCTGTATCTGAACAGAGCGGGGAGGCGGATTACAGGAAGATCTGTGTGGTACAGTTTATCAGAAGCTGCCTGTGGTTTCGACGCGCAACCATCGCACACTGCGCGTTTCAAACCAATGGAAAATAAACTGGAAGGCAGAATGAGCGACATAAGCACTGCGATTGTGGATTCAACAGAAACACGAGGAAGTGCTTCGATAGAAAACGGGTACAGTAACATTAAATTAACTAATAACGAAGTGCACTTTTTATCTTCCGTGCGTAATTATGGAAGTACGGGGGCTTTAGTTCACAGTGTAAATGTTAGCGGCAGTGGCGAGCCAGTTTTCAAAGAGTTTAACTTGCTTGACGCACCAGCGACTAGTAAACCTTTTCTTGATCGCGGTAACAGTGAGTATCTCAAGTGCGATTCGGTACCCTGGGAGGATTTTGTTAAAAGAACCAGTGCTGCTGCAAACCAGTCTGCAATTCTCTCTACGTCATGTAAATACATCAAGGATGAGAAGGAGCCTTCTGTGATTATGAACAGTCCCTGTACCAGCTTCGACGCTCCCGCGGACTTGAGCGCACTGGACACCTGTTGCGAGCCGCAGAGAAAACAGCCGCTGGGTCTGCCCGAGAGCGAGCCTAACACTTACAGCCCAGGGGCTCCGCGGTCTGTCCAGGATGGATCTACCAACTTTCTGATTGACCTAAGCTCATCAGATCCGCTGGTACAGGTCAGGACTGAGTCCAGGAGCTCTCTGTCCGGTAAACCTTTGGTCAGCTTTGACGTGAGCGCGCACACGTCCCCTCCACAGCACTCTCAAGCTATGTTCAAGAGCGAAGTGTCCCGCTGGCCGATGCACACGACTCCCGTCGAGCCGCACTTCTGGAGCCAGTCCCAGGGTGTCTCAGAGGAGCCCTATACTCATGCGCCCTACGAGAGCATCCCGAGCCAGAGCCTGGTCCAGAGGAACCCTTCACCTTTCTCCACATTCCCAGGGTAATGATTCTTTTTATTCAATACTGAGATTAAATATGCATGACATTTTTGTGTTGGTTTAATGATACTGTAAATTGGCTTAAGCAAATAAACCAACATAACTGATCAGATCAGTGTCTGAGCCACGAAGGAACATTATGCTAGATTTTACAATAACAAGATAACAAGATATTACATAGGAGAAAAAATAACATAGTTACAGTAAATTTATATATGTATATATATATATATATATATATGTGTGTGTGTGTGTGTGTGTGGTGTATGTGTGTGTATGTGTGTATATATATGATGAAATTATATTCCTTAATTTCCAAAAGTTGAACATGAAGATACTTTGTTTTTCTTGTAGCATGCCCCCTCAGAGGCAGTGTGTGATTTGTGGCGATGAGGCGTCAGGCTGTCACTATGGCGTTTTAACCTGTGGGAGCTGCAAAGTATTTTTCAAGAGAGCTGTAGAAGGTGAGAATAGCTGCTACTAAAGTCTAAAGTCTATTAAATTTGAATATTTCTCTGAAACATGTTGACAGTCGAGTTCCCAATGCAGTTTTATCCTAGTTCCAATTTGAGAAAAAAAAAAAATTAAATACATGTCCAGCTTTAACATGTTGTCTTCATTGTGTAAATGAATAATGTTAAAAACAGGCATTTTGTAAACAAAAAGAGACTTCAAGAATAGCCTGAAGCTGTGGTCTGTGAATGTTACCTCATTGTCACTGCCTGACCTTCTATAGCAGTCGTCAAAGGTCAGTAGCATCAGTATCGCATTGACCAGTGTTCCCTGTGTTCACCATCGTTGACTTGTTTTGCTTGTTATCTTAAGATGGCTGATATAAAAGAGCCTCTATGTCTCCCCATGGCCGTGTCACTCTGTCCTCACAGCCTTGTTTCTATCTCATCCTCCTCTTTGTACCAATCAGGTATCAGAGGCAATTGTAAAAAGTATTCAAAACTACAGTACTTTTTCTATCCTCATTAAATGGTCCTCATCTGCAACATATGTAATAATCAACTTGTGTGTCCTGTCTTACTCAACAGGCCATCACAGCTATTTGTGTGCCGGCCGAAATGACTGTATTGTGGACAAAATAAGGAGGAAAAATTGCCCAGCTTGTCGCCTCAGAAAGTGCTACCAGGCTGGGATGATGCTCGGAGGTAACTTTTGGTATAATGTAGAAGTGTAATGGGAAACCCTACTTTGTTGTGGTTAAATTTTCACACTTGGCTTGGAACATAAAAACCTTAAGCTTAGTGATGTATTGCAGGCACAGATCGTACTCTCCCTAATCACTTCTCACCAGACCTTGTGTGTGTGTGTCATAGGCAGGAAGCTGAAACGTTTTGGGGCCTTGAAAGCCTTGGGTCTGTCCCCCTCCCTTATGTTCCAGTCCCACTTGGCCATGTCAGGAGAAAACCAGGCCCTGAACTCTATGTCTTGCATCCCTGGCATACGAGATGTACAGCTCTCCCATCAGATCATCAGTATTCTTGAGAACATTGAGCCAGAGATAGTGTATGCTGGATACGACAACACACAGCCCGAAGTGCCACACATCCTGCTCAACAGTCTGAACCGGCTGTGTGAGAAACAGCTGCTGTGGATCGTCAAATGGTCCAAGTCTCTGCCAGGTAACACACTGTCCTGGGTCACTAAAGTCATGTCTATGGTAACAGGCAGGATGTGGCAAATCATCATGACCAAAGCATTTTATACATACACCACAATAAAATCTGCAGCGGGAGTGTTAATGATGACAACAGTGTTTTTGACCACAAAACAGAACTGCAAACTTATATGGGTTTATGTCTTTGTAGGATTTCGTAATCTGCACATCAACGACCAGATGACCCTGATCCAGTATTCATGGATGAACTTAATGGTATTCTCTCTAGGGTGGCGAACCTTTCAGAACGTCACCAGTGAATATTTGTACTTTGCACCTGATCTGGTTCTCAGTCAGTAAGTAGATTTTTCAGAACACTTTCACATTTTTAGGTTGAATAAACCAATCACGAATGCACATATTTATAACTGCTGCTGTTTCAGGGAGCAGATGAGGAGATCACCCATCTATGACCTCTGCTTGGCAATCCAGTTCATTCCTCAGGAGTTTGCGAATCTGCAGGTCACTCGAGACGAGTTTCTCTGCATGAAAGCCATAATCCTCCTGAACACAGGTAAAAGCAGCACTGGTTTAATGAGAGCACTCTGTTTCTGTTATTGTTGGGCTCAATTTTCCACAGGCTACAGTGTGTCACTTTGATGAGCAGCTACTGTAAAGTTACAGCACAATAACCTCAATGTTTTACCAGACCTTGACCAGATTTTGTAGCACTTGTAATCTACTCTCACAATGTGCCTGATAGCAACCAGATTTTTCTATCACTGTCACCAATTATTTATATCTATTTAACTCAGCAAAGTAAATACTTATTATCAGTTCTGCAGCATATTCTGCATAAAAGTGTGTCAAGCTTGTGGATGCTGTATTGTGAGTCTCAGATGTTTCTATATTAAATACAGTTAATTTACAAATAATTTTTCATATTAAACAGTGTGACGCTAAAAGCTCATCATCAGTACTGCTTAGCCTTCACTTTCCTCTTAGTACTTAAATAGGTAGTATCGTATTACAGATAAATGTTATAGTATTCAGGACTGTTTACATACAGTGGTCTCAATTAAGATTAAAGCGACAAATGCGTTAAGCTATCTGATTTTAATACCACCTTAATGTTTTTCTTAGTGCCTCTAGAAGGACTCAAGAGTCAAGCAGCATTTGAAGAGATGAGGCAGAGCTATATTCGAGAACTGAGCAAAATCATCCACCTGAAGGAAAAGGGCGTAGTGGCAACTTCACAGAGATTTTACCACTTGACCAAACTAATGGATGCCATGCATGATGTAAGCCCTCAGAATACTTATCACTTTATAAGGTCTTGTAACTCCTACATTCAGTCTGTTAATTTTGTTTCTTATATTTCGCAGATAGTGAAGAAGGTCAACTTGTACTGTCTGAGCACATTTATACAAGCTGACGCCATGAAGGTAGAGTTCCCTGAAATGATGTCAGAAGTCATTGCCTCTCAGCTGCCCAAGGTGCTGGCCGGTATGGTGAGGCCACTGCTGTTCCACACAAAGTAAATGTACCAGTGTGAATGTCATGTTACTGGATCTATCTCCACTCAAATTCTGGAGACATACAGCCATGTATGTAAAGTTACTTCTGCCTAATTGCCTCAGTTTTTTTTTTGTTCCTCAAATGATCCCTTTTAATACAGTTTTAATCCACAAATATATTAAAAATGATATCCACAATATGCTAGCCACCCTTATTTATTCGTTCTTGTGACAGGTTGTACCAGCTACTGACCTGGACAGCCCTATAATTGAATGCAACAATGAGCACAAAAGGAACTGTGATAAACTTCAGGGAGGAGAAAATTACTGTAACATAATTAGAGTTATATCACAATTACACACCCCTGCCTTGACTTGTGAATTGTAACAACTAATGTAATTGTTTCACTGCAAATTTAACAATGCATTTTGAGAGCTGGCTTAATTTTACATATTTAATTATTCTTTTGACAGAATGAGATCAGTCTAGAGTAATTAATACCCAGCTTTAATTTAAAGAACATTATTTTATGGACGCAGTCAAGTTGTATTTACTTGATTTTATTTGGAAAGCTCAATTCACTGTACAGCACAGTAAATATTAAGAAATATAACAAATCACAATGTGAAATGTAACATATTGACATTTTATGGAGAATATTTGGACAATAAACTCCTACAGTTTTAGTCAGTCAGGGAGTGTTCTCGGATGTCTAGTCAAGGCCACTTCACATTCAAACAGATGTAAATGGAAAAGAACAGTCTGATCTTGGCATAAGCCACATTGTGAATAGCTTCGCAAAAGCATTTCTGCTTCAGTCTTATTTTGAAGTCTATTTAGCCTTACCAAAAAGCTTATTATTATATTTTTATTTTATTTTATTTTTTTGAAAATGTATCTTTTACAAATTAAATCACAAATGTTGTATTTTTTAACTCTGTGATAGTAACAAAGTAAATATAAAAGTTGTCCTTAACATAATATTGCAGTCCATTGTTTTTTGCTAGTACACCAGTGTACAATGTAAGTAAAGCCATTTATACAAACATAATTTACATTAAAATGTAATTTACAGTACATTTTGTTGATTAGAAATACAGAAGTACAGTGCATTGTACAGTATCTTGTGCAACCTCAAAGTGCAGTACAGCAGTGAACAGGTTCAGTAATTACAGATAATTAGAGTAAGATGAATGTGCAAACAAGTATCACCAGCTTTTTACTGTGGCTAATAGATTTTGGTTTTTTTTTGGTTAAGTTACATGACAGCATGAGTTCATGGGACTGCATTGTTGAAACTAAAAGACACCTACGTAACCATTAGATAAAAAAAGTGTGACACATCAAAAAACATTATATAAAATATAATAACTGCAATACAAAAGAAAAGAATAACATCAAAACAACAAAGTACAAATAATACCTTGTTGGTCTCTTTCCATGGATACCATGAAATAATGTAATGTTTACCAGGGTTTTAGAGGAAGACGACATAATTCTCTGGGATTAAGCCTGTTTTACCCTCAAATGTTGCTTGGAGCCAGCCAGGTTCAACAGAGGGATAAACTAAAGAAAAGAAACAAACCACAACATAAGGCAAACAGAAAGAACATGACTCTTGATCCTTTTTGGTAAAACCACATCATCATTAAAGCAAATATAATCACACAGACAGAGGATTGAAAGCACAATTCTTCTAGATCAAAAACCTTCAGCTTGAAATGTTGCCCTTGCAAAAGGCTTGTAAAAATGTGTAGGTGAATTAATGGAGCTAGAAATTAAATTGAGAGCATTTGTTGACATTTTTCTTAGAGACTGCTGGCTTTGCTGGCTGGGTTAAGCGGGAACAGGCACCAGAGCTTTCTATCACAAGGTTACAGTGACCTGCTGCACAGATTGTTTGCCAAGTCTCTTCAGAAAAGAACAAAAAGCCAGAAGAGATAGAAAAAAAATCAAACTTTTCTTTTAGAGTTATGAGTGTATGATAGTCACAGTCAGCCAAGTGTATCTGAGCAAAGTATCAGTGTGTATATAGTGTGTATGAATTGATCAAAGCTATGACCTAGTTTTCACTTGACTCACCGTTTGAGAAGTGCGCCCCCTGTGGGAAGCTCAGTTCATGACTATGTTCAGCTTCACATGAGTACACTGCCTTGGCCTCTCTGTAAAGACAAAATCATATCTCAGAACTCCTGAGAGGTTCATTGATCTATAATGCTGCCATAATACTGCAATACCTTCCAGCTGGGACAGGTTGAGAGGAAGAGGCACCTTCAAAAAGAAGTGCACGAGCGGCAACACTGCAAAAACAACACAACATTACACACAACAACTAATGAAAATGAAATTGAATCATACAATTGTATTGTGCAATTTACAGTTGCAAATTGAAAGTAATTGTATAACAAGTATTAGACCTCTGGGGTAAATGAGGCACTAATATTTGATTACAACATTTGCTGACATTTGCAAAATGTTGATCCTGATTTGTTTTGTTCATTATCATGCTTGACTTGGTTTTATAGGGTTAATAAAAGGAGAGAAGATATTGCTTTACTGTCACATTGTGTCATGTCGTGTCATGTCTCAGTTAAGCCAGGACTGGAATAACAACTGTTTGAGATTTTTTATAATCAAAATGTGTAACTGCCTCTGACATTATCCCTTTTGTTTAGAGAAAGTAAAAACATGACAAAAGAATGGGAGACTTCCTCCAGCAGCAGCAGCAGTTACTGCGCTAAAGTGCAGCTGAGTAAAACAGTGTAACAAGGCACCACTTGACCCTGAGCACCACAACCTGGGGCAGAGCGCAGTGGGAGCTATATGAGGAACGTACTTCAGAAATTGTGCGACTTGCTTCTCAGACATGACAAGTCAAACAATCTATTTGTCCCAGGAGAGCGCATGTAGGCTGCTCCTGGGTCACATCAACCCAGCAGCAGACAGAGTGTAATTAAAAGCAGCGCTCCCACAGTAAAGTAAAAGCCATAAATCTGGTTGCACATGCTCCTCCCATCCCAAAACCCTCTTTATACTCTGTGCTCATAAGCAGACAGGCTGACTACACCGAGGGGGACCGATGAATGTCTCTAAACTATTGTCCAGCGCCACTATTGACTTGCATTTATTTGAGCAAACACACATAAAACACTCCCAGGAAGTGCACTGTGATTTATACAACCAAAGTACATATAACAACCAGTAATGCATACATATAATGGTGTCTTCATCAGGCCAGTCACGCTAATGACTATGTTGACTTATTGTTCAATATATGTTGGAAGAAACAATATTTTTGGAAGGTTAATTTTTATCGTGTGTACATTTTGTTTGCACTACTGGGAAATTATTTATTATTTGTTGCAGTTTGATAAGATTTAAGCCCTAAAATGTTGAATAAATAACTTCTATCACTGATTACACATGCAAAGGAAGTACTTAAGTGTTTCATTCTGCAATTTCTTCATTGCAGCTAATAGTTTTTTGTTTGTTTGTTTGTTTTACAATATTGTACAATTAGATTGCTTTTTGTGTATCAAATCTGGTTTGAAGACATACTTCCTCAGTGTTCTCCATGAGGTGGTGGCTATATTTGCAAATAATTCAACATTGTTTTGCATGATGGTATTTAATCCTGATTAGAATAGCACTGAAGCCTCTATGGGGCTCATTGACTCAGCAGTGCATTAAGATTACATGTACCTTAAACATGTTTGTGCATTTGTTTACTGTGAAGTATTTACATTGATCCTGGTCTTTGGTAGCCATTGCTGACGGAGGAGTCCATCCTGCGGCGGATCACATCTTTTGGAGGAAGTTTGGGATTCTCAGCTGATTTTGAACTTTCTTTGAAATCCAGTGTCGATAGACTTGGGACAGACGCAGAGCAGCGCTTATTGCCTGCACATTAACAGAAAAACTTCAACTTGTATTGCATAAAAATATATAAATTACCTGTAATTTCATTGAGAATATTTTTCTAACTTTTTTTTTTACATCATATGAAGACATTCTGAGTTCTGCATGCCCTTTTTTTAATCCATCTTGAAATGAGTACAGGAAATACATTGATTTGTGTATGCCAAGTCCTTTTTAATGATTATGGGTTTTCAATTGCATATAAGTGATTCAGTGAAGACATACTCACCTTCATCTGCAAAGTGCTTTAGTAGCGCCATATTAAGGCTGTTTTGGGTGTGCGGGGCCTTTTTGGGGGCAGAGGACATTTGTGATGAGGTGCTGACTGAGGACAGGCTGAGGGCATCCTCAGACCCCGCGTCCATGTGTCCTGCGTCCTCTCGTGAGCTCGACTCCGCACTGCTGACAGCGCCCGTGCCGCTGGCGCCATTGGACAGAAGTGAAGGCAGTTGGAGCAGGTCCAGTAAAGACGTGTCCCGACCCTGACTGGCACAGGTGGTTTGGGAGGAGCTGTTTTGTTCTGAGGAGTGTGATGACAGTGACTCCAGGCTGCCCATGGGTGTGCTGCTGCAACTACTGCTCAGCGTGTCACCTAAGCAGGGACCAGAAGACAGGCACAAGAAGCTCTCATTAAAACCTGCTGAGGGAGAAGACAACTTTTCTCACTCAATCACAATACCAAAAGTAGAAGGTAAAATATATTTTGGCAATTCAGTATATTAGCACTAAAGGTCCCTTATGTAACATTTCCATTGCTTTACCTGGAATGTTACACAATATGGCATAATATGTAATTTAATTTCTAAATACACATTTCAAAATAAAATATAAATATTTTGAATCAGGCTCAGTTACAAGATTTGTTAACAGCATACTATCATAAAAACAATCAGTGCTTGAAATGAAATACTAAGAACTGAATGACTGTCATTGTATCTTATATCTTATTATTTACTAAGAACTACATCTTATGCAGTATTCTGAATATGCACATATAACATTTTCTTAAAAGCCAGAAGCCATTTATGCATTGTTACAGTAGGTTCTTAAACTGTGATAACTGTGATAAAATGGCCATACTATTTTTATTCATCATGTAGAATAGAGTTTTGCAATCATATTGTTTTATGCATAACTATCTCCTAGGTCACACATCAGTAGATAGTGGAATCATGTGTCATCATAGCTCTGTTTTTGGTGCTTACTTTCCGCATCTGCCAGGCAGAGCGTTGGGGCATAGATGCTACGGGGCTTCCTAGTGCTGGTGGACATGCACATGGCTCTGCTGCGCCGTGACCCTGGGCGACTCTGGGGCTGAGGGGGGGGCACATTAGGGTCCGGAGGCTGATCAAATATCTGCAAGTTTAGCCAAAGCAATTACTCAACATGAGATAGTAATTAGAAGATCACCTGATGTGCTGCAAAGTACAGAATGTCTTTTCAGAGTTTTTTTGGATTAGAGCTTGATTAGTAATAGGTATCAGACAATAAAAGACATAACAAAATGAGACATCCAAAAGGCATCCTGATCACATAATCCACTCGTGCAGTGTTTGCATAACTGTTTGGGTTTTTTTTGTTTTTGTTTACATGAATTACATAGAGATGTTGGTGTGTAATTCCTAATGTATGTCAACTATAAAATCAACATTTTAAGTAAGTTTAATTTATTTAATTACTTTTTTATTTTATTTTATTTTTTTTTTTTACCTTACTGCAGTTTTCTATAAGGATCTCGACCACGATGTTCTGAAATTTAATGTTCATCATGGCCGCCACTGTCTCCTCCTGTGACCTCATCAATGTGGGCCCGAAGACGACTCCCAGGTTGGACACAGTCATCAGGTTGAACTGGCTCTGGGTGGAAACTCTGTAAACGCAGTAGAGCATTACTGGCCTGCTCACTGCTGATATGTCCAACTGTAATTCCTTACCACACACACTGACAGCTACAAGTGCATTAAGCTGTCCCTGGACTGTGAGGACACTTTAATCAGTCTAAACCATTTTTATCTCTTCTCTTAGGCCCACAGGGTTAGCCATTCATTACACCAACACGTACGTGACAAGATGTTTTATTAGCAGCTCCAGCATTTCCCGGTTCCTCTCGGGCAGCTTATGCACCAGGGCATGGACCGCACACACACGGTAATTCTGGTCATCGGACTCTGAGAAAAGTCAGAGAATTAATCACATAAGAGACAATGATATGCAAATGTAAGAGTATCATGTTTCACTGCTGTTAATATTATATCTATCATCGCTATCATTTTAAAAAGGGAAAACACAGTCAAATTAATGAAAATGTGAGTAAACTGTAACAACCCTCCTCCCTAATAATAATAATATAATCATAATCCACCCCCCTCCAAACCTCTTTTTTTCCCTTGTTTGTGTCTCAGTTCTTTGTTATGCAATAGTTCTGAATGGTAGAGTATTTTGTATTGTATTTTGTAACATATTATTTTGTCTTGTCTTCTTGTCTCTTGTCTACAAGGAAGACAAAAATCTTAAGAGAAACCATGTTTCTATTTGTCTCAGTTGAGTGCACACGCATAGTTAGGGCGTGGTAAATAATGCACTGTAAAATTTGTTAATTACATGCTAGTACATTTTTATTGAGCTTTCTGAATGTGTTTACTTTTAGTGTGCAAACAGGAATTCAAAAGTGGAAAAGTAATGGTTAAAAGTCCTGTACTACTTCATTGTTGTACTGTACTGCTTGATTGTTTTTAATTATGTGTCTTAATTGCTGTTTGTACAGTGTCCTTGAGTGCCCAGAAAGGCGCCTGTAATTTAAATGCATTATTGTTGTTATTATTAAAAGGAAGAGAAGTAATGGACAGTTAATTTCAGTGAATGAATGAATGTTTATTCAGACAGGAAAGCATAGAACATGCAGAGAAAACATATATTGATAGACAGGAAAATTAAATACTTATTTTCCATAACAATAAACAAAAATAAATATAACATAGATTTTACTTGTGTCCAAAAATGAATGGGAGGAAGTAAATACTTATTTAACTACACCCCTTTTTTCTACTGTCCCAAATTAACAAAGCAAATAGACTTCTCATTTCCTGTATGTTAAAAGCTATATAATGTGTGTGTATATATAGAGTGCTTTGACTAAAGTTTAAAAAGCCTCTTAAATTATAGTTGTATATAGGAAGTACTTACTTTTAGCTTTATACATTACTTGCGCAGTTTGGAATGTTCTCAAATTGTTCAGTTTAAGTAATTTGGCGTGAATAAACAATGGACTAGTATGGTCATGAAATTTGACATTATAAATTGTTCTTATAGCTCTTTCTTGAAGTTTCATCAATGGTTCTAGATGTAGTAGTATTGGAATTAGTTGATGGTATTGCTTTAACATAAATTATAATTATTTATCATTTAACATTACCCCAGTGGTTTCAGTTTCAATTTAAAATGTACTGTATATGTATGGTGGTCTCAGGTAGTGGCTTTGGGCCTGAAAAGTAGTAATTGTAAAATTTTGCTTGTAAGCCAAAATATGTTTCAAAGAAGGCAAGGAAGCAATGTATGAAACACATACATGTTTCATGATAATAGTGCATTTACTCTACAAATATGCATTAACTGGGAGAAAAAAATATCACTTTGTTCAAGCCATTTCCTTGCAATAGTCTCTTAGAATAACTACATAAATTTGCTCAAATTTTAGCCAGTTCAAATCCATAGCCATAAACCATTCCCACCAGATGATTACTAGAAGCATATCTTTCCACCACACATCAATCACACTGGGACCTAGAGTTATATTACCGCCAAAACACTGTATTTTTTGACAACTTACTGGCAGCCATGATGAAATCTTTGTGCAGTTTGAACGTCATTAGTGGCTCAGAGAGACACCTGGTGAACAGAGAAAGCAGTTGCCATTTATTTTTCGAGTAATATGGCTTTTAACGCAGCCCCCTTCCTCTGTGAGTCAGCAGCAGCTCTCAATGTGCGGCTAACACCAGGGAGGTTTTGGAGGAGGCATTATGGAGGTAATGACTATTCCAGACAGCTAAGGACACAACTCGTAGGGCATGCTGACCTGAGGTAATTCTTCAGACCACTGGTGATGGTTTTGTTATCCCATGTCTCAGGATCCAGCTCGATATCCACCGGAGCTTTTGGTGCTGAAGAGGAGATGAGAAGTTTGATTAAATGTGGAGGAAATGACGAAACAGAAAAATGCTGTTCGATGTTGTTGTTGGTTAGGTAACAGTTAATGTAGTTTCTGTGGAGCTGCTTTCATATCGGGGAGTGGTCCAGATAAGTCACAGAAATGTTTCCTGTACAATTGAGTTAAATGTGGGAAAACAGGATTATCTTTAGTGATCTAATAATGTCAAGAAGAAAAAGTCGGTGCGGCTGCTTCACTGCCACACCACAGGAAAAACTCGCTACCAGGGCATGCTTTTACTAACCACTTTTTATAGTACACCCATCAATATACCAATATTTAATCAATAAACTCACAGCCACAACACACTGAAATTGAAACCCGTAACGTTACAACTGAGTGTGTCAGTTTTTTTAATGTATGAAAGTACATTAGAGTAGGGTATTAGTTATGTATTAATTGTGTATGCCTTAATTAACTATTTACTATTTAAATCTTTGCTCATGACTTATAAGGCTAAGTGTAGTTATAAGAATGTTTTCTATTTTCTTATTTAAAGGGCCTATATTAAGCAATTTTCTGATCATTTGTTATAATGTTTCCTCATCACAGATATACCTGGAGTTTTGTTTCATTCACATATGTTTAACACACAAACCATGCATATTCAGGCTGCATATTTAGACTGAGTTCACTCTGTCCCACCTTGTGATATCAAGTGGTAATACAGGAAGCGTTCCAGTGTGCACATTTGGATAATTTCAGCTCTGGATTTGCCAATCTCTACTGAACTAAAGGTAAAAGGTAGCAGTTAACTTGAAAACTACTAGTTCGTGACTTTGGAAGGTTGCATTTTGAGGTTCGGACATGTAGACAGACTAATAATAAAGGGTTACTCAAACATGATTGAATGAAAAAAAAAACACAACTCTAAGTATGTTTTTGATAGGTTAACAAATTTCTGACATGTAAATTTTGCATAATATAGGAACTTTAATTCATAGCTTTATAATTGCTAAATCTTTTAATGCACTTTCTCCATCAAAACCATGTGAAACAGACCCTTTTCAAAAATGCACTGATGTCTACTTACAAAACACTGTGGACATCAGCTTCTGTACTTTTGAGTTGACCCCTCCTATCCTGTACAGCCCCATGGCATTGAGGCCTGTGTTGCACAAAATATAAGAGCTTTCTCATTTATGGCTAATGCAAGATGAAACCAGCATATTATTATTCAAAATCACATCTGGACAAAGATCAAGCTATTTGACAGATCAAAGAGGAGTAGATTTAAAAAGTCTCACCTCTGGACTCCACCAGGTCAATGCATTTCCTCACAAAGTTAAAGCCAGCCTCATTTAGAAACACTGTAACACAACAGGAGAATAAGGCTGACATGTCAATTACAGCGTAGGTTAACCACGTGCCATGGAGGAATAATAAATGCTCCCTTATGCTCGTAGTTTAACTAATAAGATGCAAACTCAGAGCTGAAGGCAACACTGTGTCAGATGTGTGGGAGAATGTCAAGTAATTGTGTTAACGAATATGAATATGTATAGGTTTCAGGGCACATTTACTGTGTACGTATAAGGCTTCATTTATCTGTGCCTTACTCGCTGTTCAAAAGACATACTCACTCTCTTCCTTTTTACTCAAAATTGCTGGAAGGTTGTAAATCTGAATGAAAGAAGAAGGACAAAGGATTAGCATGTTGTAGTGACAATGTTGCAGTAAAAAGAAGCAATAAACATATTTGAATGACCACTAAAATATGCCTGATGAATATGTATCTAGTTTAAGGTAAAAATGGTTTCAGCCATACAGAAGTAATTTTCAATCTGAAGGCAGATATCCTCTGATTAAAAATTACTTCTGGATTGTGGTTAAAATATATAGATTACGATGTTCAGTGAAAAAGCCTCCATAGGAAACCTTCCACCTTTCAACTTTACTACCTTGGACCACCAAAGTAATAATCTCTTATGAGATTATACAATTATATTTGGTCTGATAATTATTCAAAATGTAAATTTTTTACAAAGATTGAAAATTTGAGAGTTAAATCAAAGAATTTCCACACAATATTTTGGTTTATTTTTGGTGGTCTAAAATAATTCCAAAGCAATTTATTTTTATTCTACAAGCTATTGTTTGCCATCAGGGAGCAGTTTCCTTTAAATGAAGGGTATGTCTGACCAAACCCATTTTGTGAAGTGTGCACTGTGGTTCACCAAAAGAGGGTGCTATTGACACACCTATCTCTTTATTAAAGGCAAACCGCTCACACTACTCAAACAGCCTAACCATAAAGAGGGGGTATGTGAGGGCCCTCACCGGCTCCTTGCCATCCATGGCCTCCAGCCACAGTCTTCTGTTGGACTCGGACAGAGCCTGCAGTGTCATGATGCCATGCCTGCAGAGATTCACAGAAAAGCTGCTCTCAGTCTGATCTCATTGCCTTGGGGGCCCCTGGACAAACCATGTTTGTTTACACTGGCTCAGACCACTATAAAAGGACTTGTGCCGCAAAGACAGCCCATGTGCAAAAGCTGGATTTCAAACTGTGTCCACTTTGTGCACTTTCTAAATCCACTACTATGTTTAAGCAATAATACACACAGTGATTCTTTTCCTCACACCCATGCAAGCCCCTATGGCTGCTCTACATCCACATCCATTTGTGCTACATGGTGTAAAGCAGGTCGCTGCTGGAGCATGTACTGTAGCAGTAATGTGACACCACACTGTTTGAAGCAGCTGCAGCGAGCTACACCCCACTGAGAAGGGAGTTAGTAGAGGCAGGGCGGCAACAAATGACTATTTTATACCAATCTTTTCTTCAAACAAATGAAACTACATAATGGTTTACAAATTATATCTTTGAGGAATAAATCAAGTGGCAATCTAAAAACCAAAGCAAAATGATAAATGGGCAATTGTAAAGCAATATCTTCTGGTGAGATACAGAGAAAGGTAACTTTAAAAGTCACTGCAGTAAAGTCTTCAGGACATTTCATTAGACATGTTCTAAGGATTTATAGATTTATTTAACGAGGTCCAACTTTACGACACATTTAAATATTTTCAACTTAGGCTCCTTAAAAACACAACACAATTTGTAAGGAAACAATAAAAAAAAAAAAAGTTGTGTTAGAAGAAGAAAAACAGCATTGTGAGATAGTGAGAAACACTTAACCGAAAATACCATGTCATGCTTCACAAATTACACAGTGACAGATTAGTTGCAGTAGCAGCCAAAAATGTGACCCTGGCATCACCCCTTTGTGCTCAAAAACAAGGGCATTTAATTATATGTAATTTATTTTATAATTTAAATATTTCATCTTCATCTTTAGACCTTGCTTGGAAATTCCTGACATTGTAGTCTGACTGGAATGATATGAGAATTAGATCTATTACAGTAGGTCTGGGTATGCTGCATTAATAAAATGCACAGCAATATACAGTCCTGGATAAAGTAACCCCGAATCAGACAAGATGAGCTGTTCAAATGCCTGGCCTGATTGTGTCCGGGCTGCAGCTGGAGAACTGCATGTTTATTCTAATGAGGATAAATAGCTAAGCTTGAAGCTGACTCAAGTTGGCCTGGGTTGTCCTTGTGGTTGTTACAAGCACCTTGGGGCACCGTAGCTTATGATAAATGAGTTGTCCAGCAAATAAAGCACAGTTACCGTTCATGGTCAGCCAGCAGCCGCCACAGACAGAGCAATACAGGCACGGATTTGGCCATGCCCTTAATGCCCCATGATGGTCTAATTGATCTCATAGTCAAGTGCTATATCTATCAATTATCTATGATCCATTGAGCTAAAAAATTAAAACCCACACAGGGACAAGTGATGATCAGCTAATTCATAAAGTGACACAAATCAATGCGCATATGAAGTAGATTTGGAATTTTACATCCTATTGACTGTTAAGTGTCTGATCTGATAGTGGTTGGATGATTTCAAGTCTTCACTCTGGGTACTAAAATAAAGATAGAGAGATATGAGGAGCACTAATGCATAATGAAATGATCTTTTTCCTAAACTTTAAAGATGCACTATGTAAACCTTTCTCTTGTAGGGTACCCTGCCTGCATGCCTCCACATAGATGTTACTGCTTAGCCTGAAATATTCCAAAGCATGGCAGTGAACTTTTAAATACTGCATTTGTTGAATTACTTCATCATTGTGCAATAATAGTTTGAAAACATAAATTCTTACAGTGAACGGATATGCCTTTCCCCAGATTTGACTCGCAATTTTGCCTGATGGCATCTCCATGAAGATTTAATGCCATATTTGGAACATTCCAGGACAGGCAATACAATTTTCATGGAGACAAGCATTTGCAGACCTACCTTTACAAAAGTTAAATGCCCCTTTAAACTTGAAACTGTAGTTATGTTTTTCTTGTGTTGATTAAATATTAAGTTCAACACAAAATGCTAAACTGACAAAGAAGATTTTTCTGGAATTGTACTGAACACAGCTTGAAAGGTTTGGAAACCGTAATGATCAAATTTGAGTGAGTGCTTTGATTAGGTGCAAACATGCAGCACATGCACAGACAGCACTGGTCAGTTCACATACCGGACTTTACAGAAAAACTGAAGGGGTCTGAAAAGAGTTCCACGACACGTGTCATTTCTATAGCAACATGGACACAGACAAAGAAGGGAAATAGTTCAAAACTGGGGTAAATGTTACACGGAGAGCAGTTGGAGGGGAAAAGAGGTGAGGGACATGCACGACATACAGGGTCCACAACACACTTAACAAGACGCTTTTGAGTTTCATCCAACTGAAACAGACTTTTTAATATTAGATTGCTAAATTGCCCTCTGTAGCTAAGGGTTAACAGATATTATATTTGCATTACTATATTTATTTACATTTTATTTTTACTTGTACATATACATTTAGATAATTATCAGTTTCTCGCCATTTTTGGTACTTATTTAGAATTTATTATTACCATTTATATTTGATATTTCTTTGATATTATGTATATTGCTGCTGAGTCCCAATAATTTCCCCTGTGAATCAATACAGTTTGTCCAAGTCTAAATAAGTCTATATTCTAGCAGCCATGTAAACAGGTTAATTTATTGTAAGATGTGGGAGCACTATATTACTTTCTCCACATAACATAATGGTAAAAAGCTGTAAGAAACAAACAAACAAACAAACAAACAATACATTAATGGATACAAAAACACACATTCACAGACCTCTCCACTACTTCCACATCAAAGCAAAAGCGTTTGTCGATGGAGTCTGTTTTCCTCCGAATACAGGATTTCAGCTTGAACACTTCTGGCTGATTTGGAATTAATCCATTCTGAAAAAGTTGAATAAAAAAAGAACAATAATTGGAGACAACACACAAAAAGTTAAGATCTCTTGTGCCTTTTGTGCTTGCAAGTGTCTAAACAGAACAGAAGTTTATATCTAAGCCAAGTCTACTAAGTGATCCCTTTAGTGAACACAAGCAATTACAGGGCTGTGACAGTTGGCTGGTCAGAATGAGAACAAACAGTTGTACGTTTTATCATGCGTGGGTTGATCTTTCTGGCATGCATTATTTATTTAGTTGTAGGAGACTGTTTTGTGTTGACAGGGACAAAAATGCAGTCTATTTTCTTATTGCAAAGGTTACTTCTAAGGTCTGAGGGGCTTTCTGTTATTTTTGGATACTCTTTCTGTGTTAAGTTCTGTGTATTGTGCCCAATTCTCAGCTCTGTCATGTTGATGTCTCTTTTTTGAGTTTCTTAAAAGCCTAGTGGTTGTTCTTTATTCTCTACACCCACACACATTATGTTCATGGCTTTTGAGTTTTTAACTATAACATGTGCAAATACGCTACCTGCTTTCCACTGGACTTGTTTTCAGTATTGATCATAGCGAATGTGTTGTTGCCTTTATCATACGTGCAGTAGTGACGTGTCCAAGTGCATCCCAGTGGACCTAGGAAGAGAAATTAGACAAGAAAATAAGACCAAGCCACTCTTTATTCTACTTCGATTCACAAACTTTTGGAGAGGCTTCTAAAAATCAATTTAGCAATTTGCGCATGATAAATCAAAAGCTGTTTATCAGTGGTGATAAAAATCTACCATTTGTGGTTTGCTCCCTTCTTGTTTGGAGAACATCAAAGTGAATGGGTAAACAGGATGAGTTATGAGCTCTGTGTGAGAGTCTCTTTGGAAGAGAAGCCTGGGAGAGCTGCAGTCGTGTTTATGGTGATAAATGTGAAAGCATGTATGTATGTATGTGTATATGTATGTACTGTGTGTGTGTTCGTATGTTTGTGTGTGTGTATGTATGTATGTGTATGTGCATATGTAGGTGTAATGTGGGTATGTATGTGTATGTTTGTCTGAGAAAGGCCATTGATCAGACGACTCACGCTTCTCCTGGACATACAGGAAGCCCTCCATCGTCCATTGGCCTGGGGGTTTGTAGTCCTGATCAGCTGACCTTATCCTCTTCATCAGCTTCTCCACTTCCTGCTTTGTGCTCACAAAATTGTTGCGTGTCTGTAAGGAAATACACTATAACTCTTGGGAAAATTACTGTAAGAGCAAAGACTTTTCCCCTTTTTTAGCCATGGACCAAAATGGAGGATCGCTGTTGTTAAAAACAGATCAATTTATTTATTTAGTTTTAGTAGATGTGTTAGTGGTGTATAAACAAGACACAATAATAAAATCAATTAATTAAATACATGAAAATCAAATTATGTTTTTTAGACATAAGAATAAGGATGCATCGATTCGATAATGACATCAGATATCGGCACTAATGCTGAATCAGATATCAGATTCTAAATATCAGTTCAGCTAATATCCTGGTAGGACATTTAAACTGATGTAATAAGAATATTTACTGATCATAATTGGCCCAGATAGTCTTACAATGTTTGAACTTGTATTTATACAAGTTGTTCTGTAGTCACTTCAGAGATAACTGACAATACAATTACATAACACATCTGGATCAGTTCAGTCTTAGTTTTGTTTTGTTTAAAGGAAATAAATGCTGTTTTCAGTCTCTGCACTAGTATTGGTTGATATTGAGTATTGGAATCGGTACTGGAATGAAAAAAAAAAAAAAGCTGGATCAGTGCATCCTACATAGGAGGATGTTAAGATGTAATATTCTGATTGACAAATTAATTCCAGAGGTTATTATAAATTATCCTTATCCTAATATTCATTGTTGTGTACTATAGCAACTCAAACAGAAGCCACAACCTGCTGTACAAATGTATTAGGTTTATAAAATGGCTATGGCTTCTCACTGTTTACTGAACTACAAGATTTAGTTCACCCCAAATATAGCAGCACTGGTTTGTGAACCCACTGTTAAAGCTTATACGTCAGATGGCATGGAGGGAGGCTGAGAGTGGAACTAGCCCTGGCGGAGCTGCTGAAATGTGGGGTCAGAAGAATTGGGGCTTTAGGCTGAAAGCAGAAAGTAGTGTTGATGGAGACGCGGACCAGGAGAGCAGCAAGTGCAGTTCAATACCACATTTTTTTATTTTTTGATATACAGTAGCACTATTAAAAGCCTGCACTAGAGTCCAACACTACAGCACTCACAAAATATTGATCCTTGGACTGCGAACAATCTCATATATTCATACAGGTATCCACTTGTGAGAAGTCTAGTTATATCCAGTATGATAAGTTGCAGAATATGATTACGTGGCGGGCTGCCTTTGTCTGCAGCCCTGAGGTGCCGGGACTTACGTTTTGTAGGTTGAACTGGAGCTGCTGTTTGTAGGGCTCAAACTCGTGAGCCAGCTCATATCCTTCATGGTAGAAGGTAAACAAGCCCTGGAGGAATGCCAGCAGCTGCGGAGGAAACAAAGTTAGAGGGATTTACATGCTTAATGTAATGCACTTATACAACACAAGGGGGAACAGGGGGAAAGTTAGGCAAAAGTTTATGCAAGATTTTAGCATAAATAAGTAGTTGTCAAGGCTGCTAAGCAAGTGATTATTACAACATGATATATAGTATCTAGACTTCCTTAACTTTTCTTAAAATGGTACCATCATAATAATATGTATTTCATTTATGCTGTGATTTAACATAATCATTGATTTGGTTTAATTAAACACTTCATTTGATAGTCAATAAAAGTTTTCTATAACTGGTGAGAAAAGTAGCACCCATATTATTGGCTGCGAAAACTGATCCCATCTCCAACACGAGCGATCCCACACATATTGAGCTGCTCTCAGTCAAATCCTGGCCGCTGATTTGATTTGGGCGATGCTATATCAAATGTTCAAGGATGAACCATCATCTTATCTCGGCCCAGATTCATCACAGGCAAGGCTGAGCCCTGTCGTATTTTTGCCCTGCTCTAACTGGGACTAGAGAGATTTACATGTCTGGCCTGGTTTTCTGGATAAGCTGCCAGTGGGGGTAAGTAAAGGTAAGAGGATGGTAAAAAAAAAACAAAAAAAAACTTTCCTTTCATGTGACCTGTCATTAACACCTTGAGATTGTGCACAACTGAAGACGCAAAGTTGTATAAATGCTGTGATAAGGCTGTTCAATTGATCAGCCTCTGTCATACTGTGTGTTAACCAATCACAGTGAAGTGTGAACCTTCTGAAGAAGATTATTTACCTCTTCATGAATTGTGGTCATGGCTTCAAAAAAATCGTGCTATTATTTTTTAGTATATCGCCCACCCCAAAGGCTGCCATTTGTTCAACAACAAAAATAATTTCATCTCATTTCACTCAGCTCTTTTTGTAAATAAATGACACCCACAAATAAAATCCATATTCATTAGAGCTTAATTGTTTACCATACACTACAAAAACACATCTTTCAACAAAATGTAAACTTAAAACAAAAAGCAATTACTGCAGAGTCGATACACATTTAAGACTTGAAAAAATGTTGATTCACTTACGGGCTCCACAAACTCGAACTTTTTCTTCTCTTGCACTTCTTGGATTTTGAAAACATACTCAAGGGAGGCATCATAAAAGAGTTGTCTCTCCTTATCAATCTGCGTGTCAGCCTGAGAAAGCAAAGCAAACAAAAACAGAGGTTAGAGCTGCAACAAAGGACCGTGTCATCCTCACCGAGCTCTCTGTTGACAATGGGTTAATATGGGGACCACCTGGAGAGATAATAAGTGCAGACAGCGCACATTGTGGCTTGGTGGAGGCCATAAAAAAGCATTATTCACAGTCACACTATAAGGCACCATTTTGTTTTGTTTTTACCTCCTGCAGATAAGTTTCCTTCTTCCGAGATGACAAGTTGAGGTGCCGCTCAAGAACTGAATAGTATTTTTCAGTTTCCTTGTCGAATTTCTTCTTCCCTTCCTATAAATATTGAAAAGAAAAACAGTCACGGTGAGTATTGACACATTACCACTAGGGGGAGGTGTAACTGCATTTGCTACATCATAGACTTGTCATCTAAATTCCCTGTCAATACATTACAGCAGCAGGTCATAAAATTGCCATTGGGCTGTGTGTAATGATTAGGAGACATGTCGCTCTGGTCAACAGGGACTAGTATTATCAATAAGGGCTTGTGGAAATTATAAGCCATTACTCCCACAGTCCACTGGCAAAGGAAATACACAGTACATTGACTGTAAAGCTCAGTGCTGCCTATAATCCATTTGGCTTAGAGCACTCAGCAGTTTCTATGTGCTATGCGTCACCTGCAAAGACAACTCACAAAAACCTACAAAAATATAGCGATATTTCAGACCCCTCCTATCCAGGGGTTTCTGAGTGATGAAAAATTAGCAGCACCGCTACCATAACAATTAACAAGTCAAATTCTTGGAATGGTGATGGTGCTGCTCAAAATGATGCACATAATCAGGCAGTGATGGGAAGTAACTGAAAACATATACTGAGAATACATATTCTGAAAACTAATATTGAGTAACTGTATTCTGGTACAGTTACTCTTACAATTGGTGGTATTCCAAATACAATTACTTTCCCAAAATCAAAGAGAATACATGGCGGCACTTGATCACTCAGTTTAGGCTTCAAACTGTGCAAAGTTAGCAAGAAAAATATAAAAAGATTATCTTGTGGTGCGTGCAAGTGTGAATTTTTCCTTCTCTGATTAGTGATAAATAAATGCATAACAAACACTGAAAGAAAAATAAAGCTGTTTTTAATACTATGTTGAATCTTTCCACTACTTCTAATGCTACCCTATGTGAAAGTATTAAAAATACAGTACTCTGATTGGCCGATATACTGGTCTATGTTACAAATTACATTTCAATGCAGGTATTCAGTATTCTGTAACTAAATACATTTTCAAAGTATTCTTCCCATTACTGTAAACAGTAAGTTGAAATCCATGAATATCACATATAGCCAAAATGTAAATTGTTACTTGCAATATAAGGAAATATGCTGTGAACAAACTAATGTGAACAGGCCTTAACTAGGGCTATGTTGAGCAATTAATCAAGTTTTAATTGTGATTAAAATTATTGCTCATATCAATTATAAAAATAAAATAAATAAATAAAAAAATTGAGAATAATCAGTTCTGCCCATGCAAAGCCACTTGTCTACTCTACAATGGCTTTTAAAAGTTTGAACCACAAAACTTGTAATCAAAGATATTATGTGGATTCTGCTTAACTTTTTAGAGTACATAAGTGATTCAAATCATGATATTAATTATATATATAATATTTTTTCCCCATAATTAAGCTGCCATACCTTTGGAAAAAGTGCAATAAAGTGGGTTATATGTTGCTATTGACCAACTGACTGACTTCACACTCTGAATATACAATAGGTCTCTACTTTTCTCTTGACTGAATGGTGTGAGTGGCAGTTGGAACAAGAACAGCGATGTAATTATGTTTCCAGAAAGGAAAAAAGGAAAGAAAGAAACAATGACATGAAAAATGAAAACAAGCTGTCAGGTGTGTTTATACCTAATAAAGTGGCCACTATTCTGCTTTTAAGACCCATCTGCTTCAAGGTCTTGTGCTGACCTTGGTTGTAACATACTTGAGTTATTGTTGCCTGGGCTATCATTGGAAACCATTCTCCTTTCACCTCTGATAGCAACAGTGTATTTTCACAACAACAGAAATGCCACACAGAAATATTTCTTCCCCCCGGAAATTCAAATAAATAAAGGCCAAATATCTTGCCTGAGATCCAAAACATACACTTCTTCAAAACTTTACAAAGATGTGAGTAAGGTCATTGGTGAAACTCCCCATTTTCAGATTAGGGTGACTGACAGGTGGATTAGCCAATCAGAACACACATGGTCTGCCCATATCGGAAAAACTAAAGGAAAAAAAATAGGCCTATGACAGGGAACTGAAAAACATTGTCAATTTCTGCAGAATTAATGAGGGAAGCACTAAATATGTGTCACTGAAAAAAGTTTGCATGATCACGTTTGACCAGGCTACAGGCGCGTTGTTGAGCATGATGACCTGACTGGTATCAATCTATATAAAAAATCCAGAGACTTATTGTCGTCATTATTATCTCATATTACAAAGATAGAATTCAAACCATGAATGCACTGGCTGATGTTATGAACCATTAGAATTGCATTAGCAGTCAGTGTAGCCAACTTTTTTCTCACCTATAAAGTTAGTTGAATGTCACTTTTGCCCTATAGATTCCGAGCCCTCGATATGGGTTACGAGATTACACAGCCAACCCAAAAACCTCCACTCCTTAGGCCTTAATCAATCTGCGGCCGAGCGGAGAGAAGAGGAGACTGCATTTGTGAAAGAACTCATCTGCAAGTCTGACCTCTAAACCAAGCCCTGACTATTTAATGCCCATATCGCTATGCAAACTTTTACACAGACAGAAGAAGACAGGGAGAGCAAGGAGGAGGAGGGACAAATGAACAAATGTAACCAGATCCAGCCAGTTTGTTTTTATTCCCATGGCCTTGATATTTAGCAAGTCTAATACTGGCTGCTGATATGCGCAAGTGTGCTGTTATCACAAACCAGTGAAGTTCATAGTAAGGAAAAAGAGAAATACTCACTACAGGATCTGATACCACAATGACATGTAAAAATATAAACTAATCAATTGTATCTTTCCACACAAAAATAACTGTAGTTTATTTATTATTACCATGTGGTCTATTCTGATATGAGTTACGACAATACAAAAAATATTCAAAGGATTTGTACAGTTCATGTGATTATTCTCAGTATGGATATTTGTTCAAATTACTGTAGTATCTGGTTTCAAAAGGCACGTCACCATCATTAGTATATCGGCTTATTGTTAAAAAAAATATGTATGAACAGTACTTTTTTTGCGTTACCTTAACATTTGAGCTTCCTTATAAAATGAATGAAATGCTTTTAGTGTTTCCTGAATACATACTGTAAAGTACTTGAGATATACTGTAATAGTTTAAGTCTGGAAGTCAGTAGCATGTTAGTAGAAAAGTAAGTTTCAATCTGAGTGTTGGGTGTGAAAATATAGTAGGAGTTACATTAGTCTTCCACTTGAATTTTAATTGAGTTGCTTAAGTGTACAAGATTATAGTACATTAAACATGTTGTATACACTGAATACATTTCAAAAAGTTAGAAGCAAAAGATGTGTCAATTAAAACCAGTCCAAAGTTTACAATGAGCAGACTAATATTACCAAAACAGAAAGCAGTCACTTTGGGACAGAGGCAGTTCACTCCAAAATTCTTCTCTAGTCCAAGTGACTGTCACCATAGGACCAGACTATTACAACAACAGATGCTAAATCAATAGATCATTCCCACTAGACATCTCCTAGGTGAACCAGAAATTATTAAAAGAGAGTTAAATATATTTTGTATGTCTGCTACAAAGAAGCAACGAGACAGTAAACAGGTGCAAGGCAAATTAAGCATATGATTAAATATGATACCATGCTGACAGAAAATAAATTTCCCAAAAGGATCCTGGGGTTTTAGACACGAACAAAAGGGATGAGACTGTTTGAGTGTGACATTGTTTTGAGCTGAAGGCTAAAGGAAAATATTATGCACAAATGCTGCATAGACACACACGGACACACTAGAAATCACATTAAATTAAGAGTTATGGTTTTTGCTAAGCCCTGCAGTCAAAGTGGGATTTTTCCAACACTGCTGACCGCTGTCATCTTACCAGAAAGTTTGATTTTTTTTTTTTCATCCGCACATCCAAAGCCAGTGAGTCAGAGGCAAAGAGAAGCGAACAGCCTGATTAAGTCACCGCTTGTGTCCTGGTTTGTTTTGATCCAGACTCGGACGTGTGCAAACGCGTGCTACGGTAATGACAACCTTAGCAAAAAGAGCAGGTGTTTGGGCTTCTGTGTACTCCCCCGCCTGCTGGATATGTTTGTGCAATCAGAGAAGGAATACATATATATGCCATTTAAATTGCAAAGAGTGATTGGGGAGAGGAGGGCACGCACAAGGGAGGAAGAGGAGGAGGAGGAAGAGAGAGACTTTGAAGCCCTAAACACGTGGCTGGGGACGAGATGTGGACAGATCTCACGCCCGGAGCCACATAGAGTTGTTGGGAGTTGGTGACAGAAAACGAATGCTGTGCTTGTGAACCGGAGCAATCGACGGGTATGGGAGGGGCTAAAACACACATGGACCCAGCACTGCACAGATTTATTCCTCTGATTGCTTTGTTCACGCTCATGAATAAATCAGATGCAGAAGAGTATATTGTGAGGCGCATTCCTCTGGTGTGGAATGTGGAGCTGGCAAACCCAATGGAGATTTTAAAAGTACTTTCATGCCTGCTGTGGTAGTAGGTGTGTGTACTAAAAATGAGCATGTGTTTCACAAAGGTGTCTGTAGCATACTAAAGTATAAAAACGTGATCATCATTGGAGTTAAGGCAGGATGAAATCGTGTAGAATTTTATCAAGATATAAGGGAGGAAATATCTGATAACCACAATTGGGAATATAGCTGCTTAATGGTGGCTTTTATAATATTTGTTAGGGCTGGGTATCATTAAGAAGTTGCAGATATGATACATACCTCGATACATAGGCCACGATATGATGCATATCTCGATTCAGTGCACTTTCAATTTGATATATTTCAAATCAACTCGATACAGTTCAATAAAAAATAAAGGCAAAATGATTGCTGTGATATTAAAAGTCTTTGTTAAACCACTTCTTGTGCAAAGTTAATGTGAAACATGCCTGTTTAAAGTGTAAAATGTCAAAAGTGTTGCTTAAACAAGTTTCCTGCCACTAAACTAACAACAAAACTGTAGCTCTGTAACAAAATAATTTTGTAAAATATACCAAAAAATACTCGGTACAGCAGCCCATGATATTGACTGCATTATCAT